TTGTTGCCTGTTTTGATGCTCACCCGTAGATTCCTCTTGGTTGTTTACAGGCTTTGTTTCATAACGCTTGGAAAGATTGTGCGGAACAGTAGACTCTGTTTGTGACTCATTATCCAAGGTATCGCTCAGGGTTTGATACCGGTTTTCTATATTGAGCATGTGGGAACTTGACGGAATTATATCTGCTTGCTGCTTTCGATCGCTGCTTTTAGTTTTCTGCACGGTTTCGAAATTATTAGACATTTCAGCTGTAATGTTGTTCGGTTGGTTTAAGTTATTCAAACAAGCTTGATAGTCCTTTTGTTGAAGAGCCAAGGCCGTAGCGAGATTGACCTTCTCGTGTTCTAAATATTCAACTTTCGCTCTCAGATCTTTTATTATGTTGTTTGCTTCTTCCAGGTTATTTCTCTGATTAGCCTTTTCGCTTTCACATGTGTTAAATTTACATGGCCGTGAATTTTCTTTTCCTTCATAAGAATCAGTTCGGTTTTTAAGTTGCTGTATATCACCTTCGATACGCTTGAATTGTGACACGACTTCACGACAACAACATACAGAATTAGTAAATTTCAGATCATTTTCAGCTAGGGGCACTTCGGTCGGGAAGTTGACCGCTACAGTTTGGTTTTCTGCCTTGTTTTTGTCTTTGTCTTTGTCATCGTTCGACAATAATGTCGACTTCTGAACGCCTTCGAGCGTGTTTTTGTTTCCAATGGTTTCACTGCGTTGTCCTACATCATAAACTTTGAAATTACCCAACGTGGCAGATTTCACAAGTTTCTCTTGAAGGGTTTCATTCTCATCATCTTGAATTACAACGAGCTTTTGCTTTGTTTTACCGTGCCACTTCAACGTATAACTTTTACTCGTGAATTTCTTTACTTCTCCGCCAGTAGATTTCCATTGACCGTCAATGCCCAAGTCGGATTTTACAAACAGTTTCAGACTTTCATACGGACCTTTCCAAACCAATTCCTCGTCTATTTTTAGAAGATTTGATTGTTTAAAAGGTGTAGAAGTTATCAGGCTATAGCGTACTTTGTTCTTGTATATCTTCAAAGAAGCTAAAATAATCATCGACAATAACGGAGCCTTCTAATGTTTGACCGGACGCCATCTTGGCATGATAATCATATAGATATCTCCATGTTTGTAAAGTAAATGTAAACTTCACCCCTTTGCGCGTGTTTTGATTAATAATTCGTTCATAAACTCGCGAAATAAGTACGTAATATTTCTTCATATTATTTCTGAGCTGTTTGATCCGTTTGAGCAAATTTCCAACTCAATACTAGTCTATCTCGAGTTTCGAAAATATTTAATTTGCTTCACAAAGCACTGCATGTAAACAGCATAATTTTGAGACCGACTGCACTTAGTTTGAGACCGACTGGATCATTTCTCTGGGGGGGGGGGGGTGAACCACCCCCCCACACACACACACACACACACACACACACACACACACACACATCCACATTTACGCCCCTGGTTTCGACACTTTGTTGAGTAGGAAAAATAACTCATTCCACGCCAAATACCATTCAATGCTTCAGAATCTATCTAAGGCGACAATACAAACAGCCTTAATATTTCAGAGATACGGATTATTCGAGGGTATTAAAATTGAATTAACTACAGCTAGTGTGTCTCAAAAAAGTGAACCTTACAAATTCAAATTAGGTATAACGTATTGTAATAATTTGACAGCTCTTATAATTGCTTTGAATTAATCGTTGGGTAAGAACACAAGGTCATGTACTCATGGGACAAAACTCAAATAAATAAAAATTTAAAAATTTAAAAGTTTTTAAGAGTTTTACATTAATAATTACATTAAGACCTGGCGTTTTATACCCAACCATTGTAATTCAAAGCAATCAGAGCTGACAAATTACTGCAATACGTTATTATAGCTAATTTGAATTTGAGACACACTGTACAGGGTGTATAAAAAAAAACGCAACCTCGGAATTTCCCAAGAAATCGACATTGTTTTAAGGGCAGAAGATCTTAGGTGCCTGGGAATATAAAAAATTACTGCACACGCAAGCTAGTGTATAAAGCTAAACTGATAATTTATTTATTTAATAGTACTTAAGGCCGATTTCCACCAGGTGGAATTTTCCACGCGGAGCGGAAGTTTTCATTGTCTTTTCTAATTAGTTCCACCCGAGAAATCACAAGAGAATTAGAAAACTTCCGCTCCGCGCGCAAATTCCGCCTAATAAAACCGGCTTAAAATATGTTTTTATTTTACAAGTACATACAACAACAGTAATATATGATCTATTAGCAATTCGAGTTCAATTCCCAGGCGCGTAAAATCTTTTATGCGTAAGAATTGCAAAATGGTCAGTCTTAGGAAATTCCGAGGTTTTTTATACACCCTGACGTGCTAACCAATTAAGCCTCTGTAGATTTGTTTAGTATAGTGTGCTTAACATTTAATTATCACGCAATTACCATGCACACATTGCATCGAGATCCTTCCATTATGTGACGATGCAGTCTTATAATGAGCTATTTCGGACTTAACAGAGGGTACTTAAAACTAAAAGTCAGCTAAGAAAAAATCGTTCAGTTATGCCGCCGCCAACATCTATAGAACTCACAGAGTGTTTCACAAAGAAAAAATAACTCATTCTACGAGTTTTAGGTTTACCCTAGGAGGTATTCTAGAATTCAGTAAGACGAAAATAGCATAATAATACAGCATGCTATGTTCCATGCAAGTCAAATGGCAATTACCATAGAGGGTACTTAAAAGTTAGTCAGCTATATGGGGTCACAGTTTGTTGTGTTAATTGCTTTCGCCAGACTGATCGGTTATCATACCATCAGTGGTATGAATGGGGCTTAGAAATCACAAGTGTCGGAGACAGCTTTTAAATTAACCCAATCAGCGTGTAGATACCAGATATTGTACAGTAAGCAAACAACTAGTGCTGAAATCATAGATATCTTATGTACACTAGATAGCGCATCTCTTTTAGTAAAATTGAAGCCAAGAATATTCCAGCGGTTACCCCATTTGAATAGATGGCGGCCATGTTGGTCGTTCCCACTTTCTAATAAACGCTTAAAAACAACAATAACTTTCATCATTTGAATAGTTTAAAAACGTATTTGGAATAGGGTTAACTTCATGTTTAAGTTCTGTGTTTAAGAAATAGAAAATATACGAATCTTCTCATTTCATGGGAACGACCTGAGACTGCAATCACGCTTCAATTTTTGAATTGCACAGCATGAATTAGATGCACTATCTAGTGTATATAAGATATCTATGGCTGAAATGCATGCATCTCGCAGTCTTGTAATAATGAACACATTATTAGGGCCATTTATACGAGCGAAAATAACTCGCAACGGCTAAATAAGCCGCGGCTTAAATATGTCGCGAACGATCGGGCAAACAGTTAACACTAGTCAATTTGCAATAAGCCGCAGCTTATTTCGGCCTAGCTTTCACTCTGCATGGCTTATTTTAGCCGCCTTAGCAAACATAAATATTATTGACTGTTTAAATTAATGGCAAATTAATCGTTCGCGACTTATTTCGCCCCAGCTTTAGGCCGCGGCTTATTCAGGGTTCGTAGTCTCCAAGACCAACAATATTTAAAGACTTTCAAAAGTTTTTTCTGTCTATTTTCAAAGACTTTTCAAATTAAAGACCTTTGAGAGCAATCAGCTGTCGAAAATTGCGAGTGTAAGCACCATTTTTACCCGGTAATTAGTCCTTCAAATCACATCCTAAAATATACCTTTTCGTCACACAATTCAAAGACTTTTCAAAGACCTTAAAGACCTGAATTCAAATTTAAAGAATTTCAAGGATTTCAAAGACCACTACGAACCCTGTTATTTTCGCTCGTACGTATAAATGGATTTTTTCGCCGGTTGTTTGAAAACCGATTTCTTAAATCCAGGGTTAATTTATTTTCTAAAATTTTCAAATACTCACAGAAATACACAAACCGAAACAGCTAGCAAAAGTAGTAAGTTAGAAGAAGAATAGAGCTAACTAAACCTAGAGCAACCAACCCCGTGCAGAGACAACGTTAAGGGAATAATTATAGTTGTTCGAACAGCATGATGGTGATATGGTGATATAAGCAAATTAGATTAGACTCAGTCGAATATATGACAGAACTCTGGTATATTACCAAGAACTGACAAACCTGGATTATCTGCCAAAGTTAAACAAAGATACGAAATTATTTAATCATTTTGCCTTCGAAATAAATGGCACTATTTAGAACATAACACTATAGATTCAACATGCCTCAACTTACGGGGCTTGCATTTAAACCGTATAAGGGAACTTCTGTGATTTCCAATATAGCATGCATTGTAAATCACATCAATAAATTTTAAAATATAAACACAGGTAGTACTAATTTGCTATACGATTCCACAGGACAGGGCGATCATAATTATGATTTTGGTTTATCAAAGCTCAAAGGGATTAGAATAGCTTGTTTGAACATAGCAAGCTTACCAAAACATAGTGACCAACTTCAATTTAATTAATATGAAAAATCAAAACATTGATATATCAGCTTTAAACGAAACACACGGGCTTGATAACACTATTGAAGATTCTGAATTCGAAATTAAAGTTGACAACTAGGCTATATAACTATTAGACGTATAGATCTATAGGCATGGCGGTGGCGTTGTAATATATCTTAGGAGCGCCGTTAACTATATACAGAATATAAGACATGACTTACAAGATGAATTGAATTGTGTATATTGAAATCGTTAAAGCTATGAAACCATTTCTTGTTTCGACATGGTATAGACCCCAAGTACTCCATGTGAGTCTTAAAGTTTTGAAAATTTCCAAATTATTCTTGATAAAATCGAATCAGTTAATATGGAATGAGCTATTATTGGCGATATTTATAACTGGAATATGTCAGCTAATTAGTCGATAATAATACAAAGCATTATAATATATAGCTTGATCGAGCTTTGTGAATTATACCAGTATAAATTACATGCACATACAAGGCCAACGACAAAAGCCTTATGGCTAATTGTGCATATATACTGTAGATATAGCTAGAGCGTTTGCACTCATTCCCCAGGGACCAGCTCAACAAAAGCCATGAATGGCGGCCGTGTTGGTGTTCCAGACCAAAAGAGTCTAATTAATTAAAATTATTTTGAGTTGGAACACCAACATGGTGGCTGTGACATTATGTGTAAACGCTCACATTATTTTACATATCGAAAGGTTAATCTGCTGAAAGTCGTCAATTTTCTCCAGGGGGTCCATTTTCCTCTCACCGGGAAAGATGACAGGGTGGGTTAGGATATTCACCGCTAAGAAACTAATATCACAATGGACCATTTGCATTATAGACTAAATTTTGATCTAGACAAAAAATTTCATCACAGCTTGAAAGAGCATCACAAAATTAGTAATATTCCAAAGTTTCGTTGCGAAATGTTGTAAAATGCGGATAATATAGCCATGCGAAGTTTGCCATTGTCATTTTGTCACGGGAAATTGACAGCCCAATCGGGCGTTGGGGCATCAATTTCCCGTTTGTAATCTAAAATGACTGAAAATTGCAAATTCGCAAGTCTATATTATCCGCATTTTACAACATTTCGCAACGAAACTTTGGAATATTACTAATTTTGTGATGCTCTTTCAAGCTGTGATGAAATTTTTGTCTAGATCAAAATTTAGTCTGTAATGCAAATGGTCCATTGTTGTAAAGGTAAAATAGTCTAGGCTATAAGTAAGTATTTGGACAAGCGTGATATTTGATGCAAAGGCATTTGATCATAATTATCCCCATGTAAATTTGCGCTGCAGAAATGTTAGTCGAAATCGTAAATGGAAAACCTCCGATCTCTCAATGCGCATTTGACCTAGAGGAAGACGTTTCGGACAACTACAACAACTACCTTCAAGAGACCGGCCTTTTAATATTTGACACAAACCTGGACTTCCAAGTGTGTGGATCGTCACGGTCATGCCTGTAGATTAATTAACGCATTTTTATAATTGACTGTTTTAATTCTAATCCGAAAGACAGTGTAATTTGAATCTCCAATTTGAAAGTCATGATATCTCTATGTTATACGGAGGTCGCTACCGGAAATGTTCAACGTTTTAGTGGTTTTACATGCTCTAAGACAGTTCTACATGCTCTAAGATTAAACAACTTAAAGGAGAAATCCCAAGGAAGTGGTTTAATGAGGTTAAGCGGTTAAGTGGAATAAAGTCAGCAGACACAAATTTATCCCATCAAATCAATGTCGAAGGATTTACGAACCTCCCTCCACATGAACAAGCTAACACCATTAATACTGCCTTTCTTGCACCCTTGGCCGAATACAGAATATCAGAACCCCTCGAACGTCTTCCGTTAGAAGACCCACCAAAATTTTTGGAAGTTAATGAAGAACGTGTTCAAAAAGTTCTAGCGAAACTAAATCCTCACAAGGCGTCTGGACCAGACAATCTACCAAACTGGATTTTTAAAGAATATTCTTACCTTTCGGCCCTTCTTGTCATGAAAATTATCAATGCTTCCTATTACGAACAGCAGTTGCCTACCATTTGGAAGAAAGCAAATGTTTCGCCGTTACCCAAAAAAACCCCAGTGACTATATTGGAAAAAGATCTCAGGCCTATTTCCCTGACCCCCTACATCTCTAAAGTGGCAGAGGAATTCATTGTTGAGGATTATGTTAAACCAGCAATTCTAGACATAATCGATGCTAGTCAATATGGAGCGATTCCAAACTCGTCAACCACTATGGCGTTAATTAGTATTCTGCATCACTGGTTTATAAACACTGACGGAAATGGGGCAACAATATTATTATTATTATTATTATTATTATTATTATTATTATTATTATTATTATTATTATTATTATTATTATTATTATTATTATTATTATTATTATTATTATTATTATTATTATTAAATTGAAACCACATTGCAGCGAGAAGCTGAATTGCGTGGATTACATATTATCACATGCACTACATATAAATATATTATTAATACAATATTATAAAAACCCACCCACAATCAAAATTCGATTAAAATAAGCATAAAATCTATCCTACAAACTTCCTACACATAGCAGGGATAAAAGAGTTATAAAAGCGGTTCGTGCGTGTAACGTACATATTAAAATACCGATTCGTCCTGAAAGAATAATCAGTCTCGTTCTTCGGGGCAGCAGATGATGAAGTTTATGCATTGGATCCTTGATGATACTCGTAAAGAGTTTGTCACACATGTCCTCTCTTCTTTGAAATAGAGTAGGCAGTCTAAAATACTCAAGGGCCTCACAATATGTCATTTCAGGAGATAAAATTTTTAGCACACGTTTCTGGACAGTCTCAAGTTCGTCTGCCAAATACTTTGGGATGGAATGATGGAAGGCTTGCGCACAATACTCGAGCACAGGCCTGATCACTGTACAATAAAAGTTCAAGACATCATTGACATTTACGCTTGCCCGTTTCAATAATACTATAAAATAGAGGCGTACGTTTATTAGCTTTCTTTATACTCTCTCTGATGTTATCTTTCCACTTCAAGTGTGCCTGTCATAACAAGACCCAATATTTTTGCACTCTCAACTATAGGCAATGCTTCTCCACCCACCAGTACAGGATCAAAAGGTTGTTTAATTTTTTTAAAATCGATTCTCAGTTCTTTACATTTCTCAGTGTTAAGAGATAGCCCATTTTCCTTCGACCAATCTTCCACAACATCAACTGCGACTTGAACACGGCTCTCTGTGTCCTTACTAACTACTTCAGCAACTGTTGTGTCATCAACAAACTTCCACCTCGATATATCACAAATATCAAGATCATTTATCATTAAACAAAATAGCCAGGGCCCTAATTTTGTACCTTGAGGGATACCGGAAAGTACATCTCCCCACTCCGAATAACAGTCATTGGATAATTTCACTCTCTGCTTTCGATTCATCAAAAAATCGATTGTCCAGCGAGCAACCGCACGTGGAATAGCTAAATTGGAAATTTTATCAGCCAGTAAAGCATGATCGATAAGGTCGAATGCTTTTCTATAATCGAACAGGATGACTCTGACAGCAGAGCCAGTGCCATCAGTAGCTTGCGACCATTCATGGATCATAGATATAACAGCAAGAGTAGTTGAACTTCTTGGTATTACTCCATATTGACTTGGATCGATCATACTCATGATAGCTGGAGCAATGTATTTTTTAACAACACAGTCCTCGGCGATTTTCGAAATAGCGGCAGTAAGTGAAATTGGTCGTAACTGCTTACAAATGTCGCTAACGGGCTTAGTTTTTATGAGGGGCACAATGTTGGCAAGCTTCCAAGATTTAGGTAGTTGTTGTTCGGCATAGCTGCTGTTTAGCACAGCGCATACTGGCTGTGCAAGGATTTCAGCATATTCCTTAAGAGCCCAATTGGGAATTTCGTCAGGACCTGACGCCTTTCCACGATTAATTGCTTTCAGTAAATGAAAGACTTCCAATTCGTTCACTTGAAAAGAGGAATAATTATCAAAGGGTGGAAGGGTTGACAGTGGATTGAAGGAGTTCATGGGCTCCAAAAAGGCGTTATTAATTAAATTCGCAATGTCAGGACGTTGCATATTCTCGATATCGCCTAAATGAAGTTGACTACATAGGTCATCGGAGCCGGTTGTAGGTACCATACCAGCAATCTGCTTCACCTCCTTCCACCATCTCTTCGGTTTTGTCGATTTAAGATTCTTTACTTTTGAAGAGTAGAATTTCGCCCGGCATGTCTTTCGCTCGCGGTTAACCCGATTCCGGTAATACTTGAACTGAAAGGTATTTTCACTGCAGAAGGCAGCTTGACGCTTCCTTATAAGCTCTTTAAATTCTGCAGTAATCCATGGAGGATCGTGTACATGCAAAGCCGTTTTCTTTATTGGCATAATGGTGCTAATACCGAGACGTACTAACTCTTCGAAATACTGGAGTTTCATTTCGCATGTGTCAAAATGATTCAGAGAGGACCAATCGATAGATGTAAAGTATCTTCTAAACTCATGCCTTTTACTAGATCGTAAATCTCTACTAGAGATAATTCTTCTACTGCATGACTTGGGTTCTCTTTTGCAAGGATTGACAATCACAACATTATGATCTGAAAGACCAAATGGCGGAAATTTTTGGACAGAGTTCTTATCATAAAACGAATGTAAGTTGGTTATTATTAGATCCAAAGTCTGGTTGGCCCTTGTGGAAACGTTAACAATCTGTTTGCAACTGAACTGTGTTAATATCCGATTGTATTTTAACCGATTAAAGTCGCCTGCAAGAATAAACCCACAGCCAGGATAGGTGCTTTCAATAGTAATCAGTGATGTGGAGAGAAATTGGAGCATTTCATCATCATTAGCATTAGGTGGATGGTAAACGACACCAAGTATCAAGCAGGAAAACCCGCGGGGAAGTCTACTTGGACGAACATAGACCCACAGAACTTCGTAATCTATATGGTGGAGATGATTCAGAAGCTTATAAAATATCGTGTTCCTGATGTACACCCCAACCCCTCCGTGGGAGCCCACACTGCGGTTTTTATGAACAAAATTGTAACCTGGAATATCAAGGCAGGAATCTGAGATACGGTCATTTAGCCATGTTTCCGTTATACAGGCAAGGTCAGGACTCTTTTCTGTGACAAAACAACTCACTTCATCAATTTTGGGAGCTAATGACATCGTATTTGTCAATAGTAGTTTCGGAACGTAGAAATAGTCATTAGCATTGGAAATAACAGTTTTATTAATGTTAATTTGAATAATATTATTTAAATTACGTTGTCTGCGATGAATTGAAGTAGGGCGACCTGATAGGGAAAAATCATGTTCTAGTAATAATACTGGAAAAACCTCATATTGGCTTTCCATTTGTCCTTGCGAAAACCCTCCTCAGTCTGGTTGATTCTAGCGCCATGTTTATTTCGTCGCCACGTAGATTTCTTTGATGGTGTTCTATCGGTAACGCGAGTAGGGATGGCATAACAGTTAGTTATGTCCGAAATTTCCGTATGTTTTGGGAATTGACTTACTTGACCAGCATGTTTTTGAGGCTCCTGCTTATCAACTTGTTTTGGTGGTATTCGAGGGTTAGGTGGTAATTCTTGAGATGTGATATATTTATTAGTACAGGTATTCTCTTGAGTCGGAGGCGCGTGTTGATTTCTAATGCAATTAGTGCTGAGTGTCTCCAAAATAATGCAGGAATGATCATGACAAAGCCCATTGTCAGTTTCTTTACTCGTTTGTTCTAACTCGTGTAGGTTTAGTACCTGTTCGAGTTGTAAGATTTTTGTTTCGGCAACCGTTAGCTCAGATTCAAGTTGCTTGGTTTTATCTTGTTCATCATGCAGTTCCCTTTCAAGACGCTTTAATTGGGTATCATAACAAACATTGGAAAGGCACTCAGACCGCAAATTTGCCAGAGATTGTAATGCATCGTTACGACTCATTACAATGTCGTCATTCAGATTCGATCCTATTATGTTATTGTTTTCCTCATGACGTTTTTGCAATCCGGAGGCGTTTTGATTGTCCAAATTTGAATATTCGACAGCTTTAGGCGAATATTGAATCGTATGTTGGTTTTTCAACAACTGACAATATTGCTTGATTATCGCAAGGCATTCAATTTTATCGACCATACAATTCTTGTAAAGAAACTGGGTAATTTGAACATACCTAGAAGTTAACTGGATAATAGATTTTCTTTCTCATAGAACGCAGAGAGTCAAATTGGCCGATAGCTGTTTTTCTGAGTAGGGCCTTGTTCCGTCTGGTGTACCGCAAGGTACAAAGCTAGGTCCATGGTTATTTATTTTAATGATCCAAGACCTGAATATTAATTCCCCGTACCTGTGGAAGTTCGTAGATGATACCACAGCATCGGAAATTATTCCCAAAGGCAATGTTACTACAGCCCAAAACATAGCAGATCATATTAAGCAATGGTCAGAAGAAAATAGATTAAAGCTACATCCAGATAAATGTAAAGAATTAAGATTTTCTTTTAGTAAGGACCCAGTTGTTCTAGATCAAGTCATACTTAATGGTAAAGAATTCGAAATAGTCGAAAGTGCTAAATTATTGGGAGTAACAATAAGTAACAATCTAACTTGGCATGCCGATATAAAAGAGGTCGTCAAAAAGCCAGTAAGAGACTATATTATCTGGTTCAATTAAAAAGATCTAGGTTACCAGTTAAAAATCTTGTGTTATTCTATACGTCTTGCGTTAGATCTGTCATGGATTACGCAGCACCAGCCTTTTATCACTCCCTTCCACAATACTTAAAGAACGAATTGATTCGACTGAAAAAAAAGGGCTATTTCAATAATAAATCCAGGAATGGACTACTCTGCAACAGGAGTAATTTTGAACATCAAACCAATAGAAAAACACCATAATTTCTTATGCAAAAACTTGTTTGATAATGTTACAAAGGATCCAAACCACAAACTTTATGACCTCCTCCCACAGAAACATAACTGGCACAACGATCTCAGAAATGGTCATGAAATTGACATTCCTCATTTTAATACTATATAATCGTACTAAAAACTCTTTTATATTTGCGATGGCATCGAAGATGTCTTCGTAACGTTAGTGGTATCTTTTTTATTATCATCCTAGTAAAATTTTAAATATTTGCATAATTTTAACTTAATAATTATAATAGTAATTAAATAATAATTCGTATCTGGTAAACTTTACGTAATTCAGCCTTTGGCTGCAATGTAAATGTTTTATTAAACTATCTATCTATCTATCTATCTATCTATCTATCTATCTAAGAAAAAAAGAGCTCTGGAATGTAACCCCTTTCGCGAAGGGTATTACAAACTTAAGTAGTTTCATTATTTCACTCGATTTCCCCGCTTTTGCTATTGTTGGAATAGCACTGTTATCTATATATGTGTAATTGTTCATGATTTTATGTAGTATAAAACCAAGTCCAGGTATTCTTGCCAATAAGTTAAGAGTAGTCTTGTTCGCCTTCCATCGCACGCTCAGCAAGATGGTAATCTTTAATTCATATCACGTGATATAATTACCCAATTAAATGATCTGATTTCCCTCAAAGTACGTATATTATCTTGCAGATATGTTGCGGACGACAAGCGTGCCTTTGCAATGGGAATGCAATATGTATTCCTGAAAACAATCGGTTTAATCCCAGGTCCAATAATCCTTGGTCATCTACTAGACGTATCTTGTCAACTTTGGCAAGACATCTGTGGACAGAAAGGAAGATGTTTTGTCTACGATGTTGATTTGGTCAGTAGAAATATCTGTATATTTGGAGCAGTCATTACGGGTAAGAAACACAGATTTAAAGCTCTCTTTGCAAAGGCAATGGGGACGGACGCCTCTCTAAAAAGCGGACAGCGCATAGCCGCATGTTCGAATATCAGGAATTTCGGTATCCCACTCGGCGGTCTAAACTAATTGTTATAACCCTGCTTGGCCCTTCCCTAGGCAGGAGTGGCCCTGCGATTCCGTCGTAGCGATCTAACCAACTGAGCTACAGAGGCATATTTGTCGAGCTCTAACCATAAGTTCTTGTTCTCAAGCGAAAGCATCAAAATATATTAACACGATACTCAATCGAAAAATTCAGTGTAGAGAATAAATTTAATGTTTCTTAATAAAATAGGAAAAGTTTACACTAAAATTAGAATAACAAAGCCGAACGTATCGGATTCGACCACCTATTTTTTATCACTGTACATTCCTTAGTTACTGTTCTTCAGCGCGCTTTTGATCATTACATGTAAAAAGCGCTTTATAAATTATTAAATTATTATTATTAAATTAGTATTATTATATCAGTTCCGTGACACAGACCTAAAACTGTAGGGAGCCACCTTAAGTCTACCAAACTAAAGTAGAATAATAATTACAATCTAGTAAATTAGCTGGAAAATTTAACAAAGTACGAAAATTTTGAAATTCATACACAATCATGTATAAGATTAAAAATTTCTGACTTATCAGACTTAGTATTTATACACACTGCAGTATTTTGTTCTGTGTGTGTGATTTAATTTAATTAGCCTTTCTCACGATGACGAATATCCGCCATTTTTGGGTGGCATCTAATTCTCGTTAAAGTGCATATGACATGAAATTTCTTATTTTCTTGAAGGAAAGAACTCTTTAAGCTGTAGTGTAACTTATTTTCCAGTTTCTTGTTTTTATGGTTTGTTCCCGAGATATTTCAATTTGTTTAATTGTGTAAATGAGTGTGAATGTGTCCGCTAATTTATGACGTCACTTTGGTTGCAAGCTGAACTTACACTGGTTATAAATCTATTAACTCTACAAACTGTAGATATCAGTTCTCGTTTTTCTCCATTGTTTCATCACATTTACCAGTGAGCGAAGTTTAAAATTATCATTTTGGATGATAGCAGTGATGTTCAACCAAATTAAAGAGCTTGCAACCAAAGTGACGTCATAAATTAGCGGACATATTCATACTTATTTACATATCAAACAAAACTGAAATATCTTGGGAACAAACCATAAAAACAAGAAACTGAAAAATAAGTTACACTATAGCTTAAAGAGTTCTTTTATTTAAGAAAATAAATAATTTGATGTCATATGCACTTTAACCAGTGCAGACAATTAAAAGAACGTGAAAAGCAATTTTCAAAATAAACTAACCATTTACAAAGCAAATTTAGCATTCGTCCAAAAAATTATAAAAAGTCGCTGTTATGTGGACTTGTCTCGCAGACTGCGGCTGAAAAGCCACTCAAAAATGGCGGCGTGAGAAAGGTAATTAGGACTTATATAAAATATAGAAAGATCTAAACATGTACGTATTAAATACGCTTAACCTTAATCAGCTACGATTTGTTATCGCGCAATTGTATCGGGCCTAATTTATGTAAATTGGTGGTATCTTGTATAACATTTTCCAAATTTTTCATGGCCACGATTTGCTTTGTGTTTTGTTCTTATGACTTTAAATAAAAATTACAATTTTTTTTTATTTAAGGTTTCTCAGTTGTGTTGTTTGCGCTTTCCTGGCACTTGCACCGGCCTGAAGAAACATCGGATGTTACTCCGAGAAGGCAGGAATGCCGATGGTATTTCAAGTTTTGAAACTGTCCTGTAACTTAATATTCGGTAAAACTTTATTTTATGGTAACACACGGCAAATAAAATGCGAGATTTAGGGCTGAATGTAGGCGCCGAAGCAAACATATGCTAATAGGGGTAAAACGTTCAGACCATCAGTGGTTTAGACTCTCGATGACCCCACAAAATTTGAATAAAAATAGGGGGCATGCAACTTTGATCCCGAACGTTTATTCTTATCTTCAAGTTCCACTTCTTGAACGTGTGTACGTACAACAAATTCTCTATGACAAGTTTTTGGTTTTCTGACCGCGACGGTATTACAATGTCTTAGCTATTTAACAGTTATTCTACGAACTCGAGTCGAACATTCGACGAGAGTGAGTGGAATAACTGTTTTATTATATACACAAGTTCTGAATTCTCAGACTTTGCTTTTCGGATATTTTCAATATTTTTCTATTTTGTTTATGTTTTTATGTTTATGTTTTTGTTTATATTTTTAACCATTTTAAATTCTAAAAATTCAACTGCTAACCTATAAACAATTTGTGGGAGTTTTTTTATTGTGTTTTTGATCCTGTAAAGGCTATAAAAAGCGAACAACTTTCCCTTTTCTCGTTCGCAAAACATCAGAAATTCAGTTTGAGCCGCCATTTTTTTTTTCTCTACTAATAGGATATGACCTAATATCCTGCTAGTAGAGAACCAATCAGATTGCAGAATACCTCATATCCAGACCTTGTGTATATAATAATACTAGTTATTACTACAATAGATCGCTGATGAACAGCATACGAGTGTTCAAATAGTATGCCAAATTTTCTATGTCGACCCATACATGGTACGTTGCCAATTTTTTCTATGAATAGTGTACTTATCATAGTAAAAGTTGGCAAAGTTGCCTCCTTTACAGGAGGCAAAGTTGGCAAAGTTGCCTCCTTTTCTTTTAAAAGTTGTCATATGAAAACTTAAACTGTCTGTACCAGTGTAGGTAGTACCAATGTGAAAATGCTGTGCTGAGTGGTTATATTACTACCTTAAAAATCAAGCAGAAACTTGACGTTTCAGCGAAGGCCCTTCGTCAAGAGTTATTAATATAACCACTCAGCACAGCATATAAAAACTTGTCATATATAGAAACGGCTTAATTTGATTTTAGTATACTGCATGCCAATTCAATTACCGTTACCTCCAAAGGTGAATATTCACAACCGTAAAACGTCACATCTAAAGGCCATATTTCGCTGTAATTTGCAATGCAATTTCGAATATACAGTAGATCCATGTTACCTGAAAAGTAGTCACCACGCAGATATCATTGAAGTGCGTGGGTGCCACTCGCAGACACATTTTATAATCTCGACATTTTAACAAATTATATTTGCAGTCGTGCCAATAGAAGCGTTCCGAAAAATGTTGACCAATTCATTTCCTAACTTGAAGGAACACCTCTGAACAAATTGATAAGTTCCTTAAAAAGTTCCTAACTTCCTGATTCATTGACCAATCAAACAAATTCAAAAACAAAATATAAAATTTGATTGCTCAATGAAACAGGAAGTTAGGAACTCTTTTTCGTTAGGAACTTATCAAATTGTTGAGGAATTGTTGAGAGGTGTTCATTCAAGTTAGGAAATGAATTGGTCAACATTTTTCGGAACGCTTCTATCGACACGACTGTAACTCCTAAAATACGATGCATGTTTGCAGGCGCGTTCATGCCGAAGCCATGAAATGCAGGTGATAAATGATATTTGTGACGTATTAAAGGAACGAAAAAACGCAGTGATAAAGTTGGATCGCTTCCTACTTTTTCGCAAAACCGCTTTCGTTTACCATGAATCACGTTCCCGAATTTATCAGCTATCGCTTGCTTCGTACCATGCAACAAATGCGACGAGTAAAAATTGCCCCTCACATTTTATACAGGGTGTATAAAAAGGTAGTCCAACTTTGGCATTTTATCCTACATTTAACAGTTATTCTACGAACTCGAGTCGAATATGAGCTGATAGCCGATGAGGCGCGTAGCGCCGAACCGGCTATCGCTCATATTCGACGAGAGTGAGTGGAATAATTGTTTTATTATATACAGAAGGTCTGAATTCACAGACTTTGCTTTTCGAATATTTTCAATATTTTTCTATTTTGTTTATGTTTTTATCTTCGCTTTTTCGGCCGATTATTTTTTCAAAAATATATATTTTTAACCATTTTTAAAATTTTAAAAATTTATTTGCTAACCTGAAAACAATTTGTGGGAGTTTTTTCATTGTGTTTTTAATCCTGTGAAGGCTATAAAAAGCGACAACTTGCCGTTTTCTCCTTTGCAAAACATCGTAAATTCAGTTTGGCCGCCATTTTGTTTTTCTCTACTAGCAGGATATTAGCTAATATCCTGCTAGTAGAGAACCAATCAGATTGCAGAATACCTCATATCCAGACCTTGTGTATATAATAATATATATTAGCTACGTTTATACCTTTACTTTATTCATGCCAGTAAAGATCAGGCTATTACTGTAGCAGCTAGTCGAATGCTAGCGTTCCTATACCATTGTGAAAGCCCAGCTATTGTCGGAGTATTGAAATTATTCTCATTATTCTATCAAAATTAATTTGGTAAATTTCTACTCGCATTTTGCAATTGATTGGTTAGAACATTTTACAAAACTGGAAGTTCGCAGACTGAACTCGCAATGCCGTACGTCGAACGACTACTTTAAATCAGATCGTATATGTTTATTCATTTTTTATCGCAATGATTCAATAAAGGTGTGTCATTTGACAGCTAAAAGCCCGATATTTATAAATACGAAAACATGCACTTAGAAGACCTATATAGCTAAACGCAATAATTAACCCACCGACGACAACCTGTCATAGTTGGATTACATTTTTTTGATACACCCTGTATATTATTTACATTGTCATATTAATTCAGTAGGTATAACTGCATGTAACTTAGTGTGCACAAGGGATGTTCAGTATAAATATAAATATACACTGCAGCCCAGGGCCGTACGCAGGATTTTTTCACCAGGTGGGCAGTAATTAAGGCCTATATGTCGAAAAAAGTCTCAAATATCCAAAGAATAATTAATAATGACATTCTAAAAATCGTAAATATAGTTTTCTCTGGGCGAATGGGGCAGTTGCCCCCCTTGCCCCCTCCCCCGCTGTGTACTGCAGCCATCGTGACAAAAAAGCTGCTAACTGTATTCAGTTACTTGTGCTACACAGCCAGGTTTGTTGTTTGCAAATTCTCGCCATTATCTTACGTTACTCTGTATGCACGCCATTATCTCGTGGTAGATCATGCTTGTTTTACTACGAGAATTTACATAAATCCTGTTGAGTGTTGTCAGTTGAACTTGACCACGGCTACGGCTAATTTTTTATGTAAATCTTCGTCTAAAATTTGTACGAATCACTTCATAATGGCCGCCACCGAAAACATCGATCTCGACTGAACCACTCTCCTAAACATTCCTCAGCAGGTGAGTTCGAAATTGAATGAGTTTACTATCAATACTAGAAGTTACTATCGCAAGGAAAGTGCTGCCTCACCCCCAAGGGATCAAAGACAGCATGCGTAATTTGCTGAATAAGGGGCTGTTTTATATATGATCCCGCTTTGCCATGACGAGATGTGAGCCGGGGTTATTTTGATGTATTGAAACAAGTCACAGTGCAAAATTCATTATTTTCTTGAGATAGATTAATTAGTTAACTGTAAACGAAACATAATAACAATCTTCTGGAACTACAAGATCTTCTCTACAATATTTGAATTCTCTTAACCAGCATTTTAACTTTTGTTTAGCCTACTGACTTATTTCAACACATCAAAATAATGACATCCCACCTTACATCATGTAAACAGCCCCTAAGACACCTGTTCAGTACGTAGGAAAAGTGCAATTTGAATATCAAACACCTTGCAAATTCGAACTAAATTGCAAGCAAAATCCCCAATCTCAGCCAAAATATTACATAAATCCGCAATCCGCTGTATTAATAAGATTGGTGGAATCCGACAATCCGAAAACCTATTCACCCCCCCCCCCCTTATAACTTCTTGCTTTTGTATGTACATTTATAATACTGTCAGTGGTGAAGCTAGTCATTGCAACAGATCATGCTATGCAAGTTTTTAATAATTTGCATTAGTCAAATAGATGCAGCTTTATTGGCGTGGCATGACCAGTTGCCATGGCAAGCTTGCCACTGAATATCAGACAAAATCATATTATATATAAATGATAATACTTGAATGAATCATTGTACATGTAGAATTTAATTATAACAATTTCATATATTTAACAATTATTGGATGGGGCTGAGCAGGATTAACCAAGGTCTGAATAATTCTGGTATCCTGCGCAAGCCGAATTCAATAATTGTTTTATTATTAATTTTGTGACAGAAAGAAAACAAAACAAGCAACAATTGAAAACAAAAATAAAATAATATTCATTGAATTGATTAACTTTTCGTAAATTCAACTGAAAATTTCCTGCCAATTTGTATTTTCACATAACATACCGCTGAAATATCTCGGGCGCCGTCCAATAACCTCTGCAGATTATTGTTTCCGCTGGAAATAACACAGGCACCTACAAATACCCAAATACAAATACCGAGAACACAGTGCAATGAATAATAAATAGAAATATTAAGTCAGTTTTTGTCCCAATTATTGTTTTAATGGCACCTTCAAGGCTACCCCTATTGCAAAACCACTGAACAATCTGCTCACACCTGATGGGGAGACAAAATCTAATTGTTGACAGTTTTATTTCATTTGTCAGCTTCTGCATGGCGGCGACACCATTCATTTGTAATGATTAAGATTGTACTCAGTCAGAACTGCAAAACTATATAATACAAGAAATTGTAAGCGTTGCCAAGAATATAGTATACCCTGAACTGTAGTGACACAGCCAGGTGAATATATAAAATGTAGGTCAGTAGGATTATTTCCTATATATTATGCTAACAGTGGACATATCTCAGAGATATATTCTTACAGACCATTATATCGTTTACAAAAGTCGGTTGACATGTTATTACATGTATTATCTGCTGGTATAAAGTCTCCACACTGGGTTGCTATAGCAATATCTTTGTACAAGACAATGAGTTTATAATTTTTCATTCGTATACAATTGTGTGTTCCAATGCGGGCACGATACTGCTCAATTGATATTCCCATAATAACAATATTAATAATAAACTATCACTGTGATTATTTATACCTTGAAGTACGATGTTCTATTAAGCTATGTTCAAGTTTAATCAGATTTTTTACAAACTGACCATCGACGAGCTGCACTTATTTAGCTTGTTTATATGAAGACTTGTATGCACCTAAAAATTTAATAATTTAAATACAGTTAATTCATTCGCTTCAAGTTTCAACGCGTATCGACCAGAACACATTGTTATTTGTCATCAAACTTTCATCTTGCCTTGAAAAATAATTCGACAAACAGCCAGAGTCCAGACATAAAATTTGTCACGACACTATGCGAACATGTAAACGTGTTTACAAATTGTCATGGTCCATGGTGGTGTTCGCGCCATTCAACCAGGGTATTCGGAAAGTCAAATCGCGATCTGGAGTATGTTATTTTTACAGTAAAATTTCTGTGACGTCAAAATACGTCATAAATCTGATCATCCGTACAAACATCCTAAAAATGACTTGTTGGTCCACATAACTCGCGAACCGGAAACGGACTGGTGCGAGAAAAACACATCGTCAAGAATAGTGTGCTGCCTTCGGCAGCAATTATCATGTAGATAAGAAGAGTATGATGGAAACTTGGCGTTCAGCCTATATAGACAATTAATCATGCAGATCGTGCAAAATCTGGTTGTATGTATATCGTATAATGTATATCGTATAATGTATATATCGTTAATGCCGGCGACACGGTGTTTGAAAACTATATATAGTACTATACGTAATCAGTGATTATCAGCTTTAGTGTTGACAACACCATGGACATGCGCAGCACTAATCCAAATATTGCGCTAGAAGTAGTATAGGAAGTAGCGGTTCTAGACCACTTTTTCAGCCCGCGATCTCATCCCACTTCCGGTCAGCGGCTTCCGTATTTTTCCCCAAAAACGCGGGCTCAAGTTTCTAGACCATATTATTTATTGTGGTTTTTTAACGTATTTTTATTATATTATTTTTCAGCATTATTTTTAACTTATTTCCAAATCCTCTATTCAACAGCTCCTTTAGTATCCAACAACAACCAACTTATTACTCCCGGGAGTTCTTACAGCTTCCATACCTAACGACTTCCCCTTCAGGCGCATCGCAGCTCTTAGGTATTCCTTGTATTCTTTTGGTAGCCTACTTAAGTTTTTCCTTATGTGGTTCTCATCAGTTACCAGCATTCCTAACGGTTGTAGCTTTTTGAACTTCCACCTCTTCAAGGGCACTATCGGTCTACGCACTCGTTTGGAAGTATGTGTTTCTACTTTTTGGTTAAGGACTCCGTTATATATATTTTCAGCCTTTCCGGTCGTCCAGTCGTTGATTTCCAGTTTTAGTATTAATGGGCAGTTCCAGTCTACTCTTTGTTCAAATCTCACCTCGAAGTCAATCTTTCTAATTACATGGTGTCCGTAAGCGTAACTTGTAACACCATCTTCAAGTAAGTATCTTTTATCATCAAAACAGCTAAGAGTAACTTTCTTCAATTCATAAGTTCCAATTTTATGCTTGACGCTTCTGATTGTGTTCATCTTATGTCTCATCCGACCTTTCATGTTAATTACGTTCTTGAAGTTTTCATGAGTGAGCTTGTTTCTGATCACATACTTTTTCACTCCTTTCGCGGTCATTTTACCTCCACCACTCTCCTTCACATATGAGTACATCTTTGACCTTAACCCAACAAACTCGATTACGGGTACACCTTCAGCCTCGTCCTTGAACTTACCGATAACCTTCTTATTATGAGCTGAGTAGTACGGAGAATCTTTTGGGTAATCTGAGTTATCCCAGCAGTCTTTCTCCTTACCGATCCTTTTAAAGTCCTCGTAGACGTCATCCGTCTTTATTTCATACATCAAGCTGTCAGTATCTGTGAACAGTAGCTTTGACCTGTCACCGTACTCCTTCTTAATTGTGTTATAGTGGAAATCATACATTAGAGTCTTTGATAAGTCTAAGATGCTCATTCCAACGTAGCACGGTTTATTAAGAGTTAGAACTTCCTTCATCCGTTTTACAACTATTAAGTTCTCATTCATAATTCTATGTGACTGGAAGCACGGCGATGCCGTAAGTTTTAGGAGGTCGTCTTCCGATGACACTAATTTTGCATCAACTCTTTTCCTAAGATTTTCCATTGTCTTTCCGTAGATTGAGTTATTCATTAACTTGAAGAAGTTCTTTTCAAACACATTACGTGCTACTGACCGTTTCTTTGTATTGAAGTCAATATAGTTTTTAAGCCAAGGGGACTGTTTGAACGAAACCGCTCTGTGAACCTTTGTGAGTTTCATTCCAAGGTCTGTGTAGAGTTTTAGATTACGTGCATGTAAGACGTAGTTCTTCCTTGGTCCAAGAGAGTTCACCAGTTTTCTTACTCCTCCAATTGTCAGCTGGAATTTATCAGCAATACTTTTTGCGTAATCCGACAACATTGAAGCACTAATCTCCTTGCTCTCTGGAGCTAGCGGATAACCGTTATGTAGATTGTGAAGTTCTTGTGGATATTCCATGTCAACCTCTAGAACCATACCCCTTCCGTTGTCTCCAAGGTAGTCATCAAGGTTCATACCATCAAATTCCTCAACCCACTCAAACTCTCCATTAGGTAGTGGTTGTGACATTGCCCAGCCATATAAATTGTTGGCGTCGAGGTACATAAGATACTTGTTTTCAAGCTCTTCATTATACGTTTCCATATACTTATTATTAGCTGTGGCTTGTCTGTGAGCAATGTGACTTATTCCACCTCTCATTCCCTTCTCAAAGAACTGGAACATATCCATATCACTTACAAGTTCTATTTCCTCACCTGACTGTTTCAGGAATGCATCCCAACTTAGACTGGGTGCTGATATGTAATGTGCAGGGTCAAGTTTATAATTTTCCAAGCAGGTTTTCCTGAAGTTTTCAAAAACATCCGCTAGTAGAAGAACGTCAGTTTCTAGGTAGAGATCGTGGTAGTCTCTCATAGTTTTCATTCCAAAGTGATCCCATATTTTTTGAGCTCTTTGGTAATCTTCTTCCTTCACCTCTGACTCGTACAGTGTTGAGTAGAATTTATCTTTACTTGGAAGACCCTCAACATTAAGTTTACTAATGTCATCTAGGAATTCATATGGAAATATACCCTTTTGTGTTACAAGATTGAAGTCCTCACCCTTCCACCTCTTACCTACTATCTTAAAGTCCTCAGGTGAAAGGTTACTCACAAGTGCTTCCAATGAAGAAGCCATAAACTGTATAGAGTCTATGAATACAAGATTTTTACCCAGTGAGAATGAAATATATTTTTCCATATTATTTGGGATCACATTAATGTTCATCTTAAATTTACCAATCTCTTGCATAATTAGATGGCTATCGTAACCTCTTAGATTGTGGAAGACCACAGGAACTTTCCATGTAATTCTATATTTTAAGTTGCACATATTATGAGCAGCTCCACGAAACATTCCTGTTACATGATCGTGGTCTCTCACTCTATCGTCTCCAAGGTCGTTGCCACATATTGAGCAGTTCCTAGTCATCCAGAACTCAGCTTCCTGTTCAGGTGTAATTACCATCTTTTTCTTGAATATCTTATTAACCATTTCTCTGCACTTAATGGACTCCTTCAGTACAGTCTTTAGGAAGACTAATGTGGCGTCTTCACCAACGTAGCTTATATATTCACCAGAGTACTTATCATCATAATGGCATACTGTTTTTAACCCAAAACTACAAGCTTTGTGTGTCTGGTAAAGGTCTGTACTACTTTTGTCCTCAGGGTTTTCAGAATCAATTTTTCTCTCTTCTGGAACTAGTATAGACTCAAAGTCAGCGTATATCACGAATGGTGCAGGCATTGAGTTTCTGTGGTTTTTGAACTTTATTTTTGTACCCTCCTTGGGAAGCTTTGTGGCCTGAGTTCCATTTACCTCGATACATGTCTCCCTATGTTTTTCTAGTAGCTCTTCACTCTTACAACTATGAAGACAGTGTAGACAAAAGTGCTTTTTATGTTCGTATCCACTTACACTATACAGCATTCTATTAATGTCTTTTATTAGGACATAGTGGTTGTTTCCATTACCATCACCTAAAAGCAGCAACTCCATATGCTCGTCGTATTTGGTCTTAGAGTTTCTTATAGGATAAAACTGCTTTTTACCCTTATAACCAAACACTGATATACTCATACTGTTTTTCCTCTCAATTTTGTCGATATCACTTATCTTAACAGGGAAGTCTATTCCTTCATAATCTAGGTTTTCTGCGAACTCCATATCCTGTCGTGTAATGGTGGTTGCTCTTCTAGCTTTGGGTCTTACATGTCTCACATGACTCCACATAAAACATTTGTTGCCATTGTTTTTCATGTTGATGAGACCACATTTTGGATTAATGATGTCTGCAGGTAATTTCATATATGAACTACCCTTTAGAGGTTTGTACATTGCAATGTTGACATAATGGCTTTCAATATTCAGAATAATCCAATTTGAACCTAAGTTCTGAAAGGTTTCAATTCTAGCTAGGATGGTCAGTTGGTTTTGAGCAGCTGTACTTTCGATATCCTCGAAGTTAGTCGCGGTTCCAGTTTTAGACTTAAAGTATATTGAATCCTTCTTTGTCTTATCGTTACCGATCTCCTTTGACATTCTCACCTTAATTGTTTCGGTATATTTCAACCCTCCCATTCTCTTCAGCTCGTTAACTAGAATTCCTCTCACTACCTGCCTGCTTGCTGTCATCTGGTCTAGGGGATCCATAAAATGTGGAATAATTGAATAAGTCACAGCTGCTCCATTTGCGGCTGTTTCAATTTTCCTATGAGATGGCTTTTCGAGATATGTTCCAAATGGATCTATTTCGTGTTCCTTCGGTGTAACCACTACAGGCTGTTCATTAACTTCCTTCGACACTTTTACAGGCTTTCGTAACTTTGGAGGAGCCACTGGTTTCCTGGTTCTAGGTTTAGGAACTGGTCTTTCCCTAGGAAATATAGTTCTAGGTTTAGGAATTGGCCTTTCCCTAGGAAGTACGGTTCTAGGTTTAGGAATTGGTCTTTCCTTAGGTTTAGGTGTAGGTTTCCAGGGAGCTACACCCTCTGGTACTTCAGGAGCTTTCCTTGTAGGTTTCTTGTTAAGATCCACATGAATTGTAAACTTACCACGACCAGTTGGTGTTATAACACTATCCGCGGGAATTGAAAGTTTAATCCTGTTTTGACTTAGGAATCTCTCAGCAACAGTTTGCCTCTTAGCCTTGGGCTTTAGTGTTTCGGCTACCTTAGGCTTTGGTGGCCTACCTCTCCTTTTGGGAACCTTGGCTTCAGCGTCAGACTTGGGCTTTGGTGGTCTTCCACGCTTTTTTGGAATCACAACTTCGGCATCAACCTTAGACTTTACTGGTCTACCTCTGGGAACCTTAACTTCAGTATTAGACTTAGGCTTTGGTGGCCTTCCCCTAGGACGCTTGGGGTTCCTCTCATTTTCAAGCCTCTTAATTTCAGCATTCACCTGTGGATCATCAGTTCGCCATCTACCTCCCATTGTTGGTGGTAAACCTTCAACTCCCCTACTTAGTAGACTCTGGTATGCCTCCTCGACAAGTAAGGCCTTAGCCTTTTGTCTCTCGGAATACTTCCATGTCGGCATAATTCCTCTTCTACCTTTATAGTTAAGTGGAAGTTGTCGTGGCTTCTTAGGATCCATAGAACGGTCAGCTTCATCTATGAATTGTCTTTGTCCTTCAAAGGGATCTTTGCCCTTATCCTTAGGTGCAACTCGATAAAACTTATCCGCAAATATTTCCTCGACTTTATCATCAATGTCGCTACTATCGCTATCATCAATGATCTCACTGAGGGCCATAAGTTGTTCTACAGTTAAATCGTTCATATCAAAGTTTGTCGCCATTTTTTCACTCTTTCTCTATATACTATATGTAAAAAAAAATAGGCCTATTTAAAGGCCTATTTAATTTAATAATTTATTTAACATTTAATTTTATAATTTTATTTAATTTAACATTTAATTTTATTTAACATTTAATTTTATAATTTTATTTAATTTAACATTTAATTTAATATTTTTATTTAATTTAATAATTTTATATTTTTTATTTAATTTTATAATTTTGTATTTATTTAATTTTATAATTTATTCTTTAATTTCCAGTTATTATAATATTTACAATTTATAGGTTTCCATCCCAACTCGGGGAAGACTTTGCTGTATAACCTATTCTCAAGGATGTCCACAATTCTTTGAGTCTTAATGTCCTCAGGAGGGTTTCTCAGCGTGATGTTGTTCATGCTGGCTATCCTCAGTAGGTAAAACTTATATCTAACTATGCTGCGCCCCCTTTGCAGTCTAAGTCTTTGTATACATCTTACGATGCTTCTAAACTGCTCCCTTATGGTATCCCTATCCCCTGAAGCAACATGCTCGAATAAGTGTCTCTCAAACCAACGGACTCTATTATGACAAGACTTCTTTTTCAGGTAGTCGTCCTTGTTGTGGTTGTAACTAACATAGTATGTGAAGCCATTCCTATCGCTTGTACCACATTGTGTACACACATCTGCTCCATCTATTATTACAATAGACTTACTACCACATTCACTACATACTGGATCATATGTATGTTTTGTTTTTATTCTACTCTCCACGTACTTTCTCACGGTAGCCTCTAACTCTTCCAGTGTATTTGCCTTCCTACCTACCCGTGCCATTTCATCAGGTGTTACCATCTCTAACCATTCCATTCCTCTATACTATATATGTAAAAAATTTTTACCATATTATTTACAGTATTATATCATTAGGTAAGCCACCCCTCCAACCACCCCACCTGTAATTAAACCAAATATTGCCATATATTCTGCCATCTCTGAGCTAGGTTTGTAGTGATTACTTAATTGTGGCTTTCTTGGCATAGCCTTACGTGTTAACTCATTGATTCTTCTAACGAATTCCAGTGACTTGTTTGTTGAATTAATATCCTTATTTGCCTCAGCTAGTTCTGACTTAAGTTGGGTAATTCTATTTCTTCTATCAGTGACTTTTTCAAGGTACTTCTCTCTTTCAGCTGTTAGGTTCTCCATTGCAATGTTGTGTCTATGAGCTTCCTCGGCGTATCCATTCTTGTCAAACATTTTAAATAAGAATCCTGCTCCCGCAAATGCAAATGCATTAAATAGTCCTCCTGCTACTGCTCCCGCCATTGTATAGTCTTACCTAGGTTTTGAATGGATCATCTGGTAGATACTTCTTTTCTTTCAAGTAAGAGACCAGTAGAGATGAAAGGCTAACTGAGACAGCTAGCTTCGCCATTCCTTTTACATTTTCTGGGGTGCCTAATGGTTCTTTTAATAGTTTTTTCGATGCCATTGAAATACCAACTGCTCCTGCTGTAAGTAACACTGCGTTGTACACTTCCTTCGTCATCTTTGATTTTTCACTCATCTTGTTATAATATATAGTATGTTTAATGTATCATTCAAGTGAATCTAACTTGGACGCATCAGCTTTCCTAGTTACTTCTACGGTTTTAGGGATGAACTCAGGTTCTAGTTCCTTAGTTTCCCTCTGATGTGTTTTATATGCTAGCACAAGGGATATCAATGCAATGGCCACTCCCATGTAGGTAATCATACTGTCATTACTAGGTGACTCCCTAGGTTCAGCCAGTTTCTTTTTCCTCTCCTTTGCTATTCTGCTGATTGCAGCTAATCGTTTTCCCGCAGCTACTCTCTTTGGGTCCTTCTTCTTTTCACTTGTTACTTGTGCTTGAATTTGCTCGGGTTTATCTTCCATTCTACTTGTAAGATACCTTAGGTTTAACTGGGTTCCGTCTTATGAGATATCTTAAATTCTACTTGTGAGATAACTTGAATTTACTTGTAAGATATCTCAAATCTACTGGTAAGATAACTTAAATCTACTGGTGAGATAACTGGTGAGATAACTTAAATCTACTGGTGAGATAACTTAAATCTATTGGTGAGATAACTTAGTACTTACCTGATTTGAACCTTGGCCTGTAAGTCTTTACGTCGCAAGTTGAATTTCTTACTGCAACTTTCCTTACAGTTTTCTTAAGTGAGAAGTACTCATTAATTCTAATACAAGTTTTCACTAGGTCGTCTGATATCATTGTCATGTATCCTATTTCCCTCAGTTTTTCAAGCCATACTACCTGCTTCTCACTCGCAATTCCGGTGCCCTTGGGAGACTTGAATTCAATGGCAAATCCTTTGTACTTATCCATAGGATTCTCTATGATAAGATCTGGCTGACCACCTTTGTATCCCTTCTTCCAAGCATCACATCTCTTTGACACCGTATCCTGGTACTCACCTAGGCCAGGTATTATTACAGCCTCTGGGTAGTTATCTCTAATGTTACTCACAATAGTATGATGAAGGTCCGTTTCATTTATAAGGATCATTTGGTTATATCTAAGCGATCTTCTATCTGGTAAATTATACGAGCCTGTTTTACTTATAGATGGGAGGACTTCCCTGAATACCCAGTTCTGAAAGGCCTCTGCTATTGGAAGTCTTGATTTGAATATCAGTTGGTATATTCCTGGTTCGTATAATAAAATTGTCTGTGGGTGACAATTTTCCAAGGTGAACTTACTGGGTACCCTTTGAAGTTCTCCCACAACTACCTTATTTAGTTTCCAAACATGGTCTCTGACAGCTTTTTGAGGGTTTGAGTACCCTAGAGATTCTGCCACGTCTTTTGCATAAAATAGTATCTCGTCACCTTTCCCGATGACTCTTACACTAACATTTAGATATGGGTTCCTGAATAGTTTTTCCATCTTTCTTTATATTATATATGTAAAAATATTTATGGTTATTTTATCTAACATTTAATTTTGATTTATGAAGAG